TGTTGACTTTTCCCAAGATCATACAGCTAATAAGAGGCAAGGGTGGAATTTGATTTCAGGCAGTGTGACTCCAGAGCTCTGACCTGTGTTAAGTGTGCAGAATTAGAAGTAACTCTAGTATTCAGTCAGCTTCCCTCCCACTTTCTCTTTCCCCTATACCGTATTCCAATCGTTTTTCAGTTTCCCAATTAATTATCCAACTCTTCTTGGCCAAAGAGAACTTGGTATTTTGCCTAGTCCATTCTTAGACTTAAAAATTCTCCTTTAGCCAGGCGCCAGTGGCTCATTCCTGTAATCGTAGCTACTCAGGAGGCAGAGATCAGGAGGATCACATTTCAAAGCTAGCCCCAGGCAAATAGTTCCTGAGACCCTATCTCAAAAAAACCCATCACAAAAAAGGGCTGGTGGAGTGGCTTAAGCAGTAAGAGCACTTGTTTAACAAGTGTGAGACCCCAAGTTCAAACCCCAGTGCTGCCACAAAAAAAAAAAAAAAAATTCTCCTTTAAATTCATCTGAAGACTTCCAAAGAGAAATCTAATATAGTAGCTCATCTGTAAAATGGGTATTAGGCAGTTATTTAGTAGATGCTTACAGGAATGAGTGAAATAAGGATGAAAGCATTTAGCACAGTACTGAGTACCAGGAACTGCACAACAATGACAGCATTTTGTATTCATCTCTTTGTGCATAGATCTATCCTCTGAAACTACACAAACTGATCATGTCTCTTACTCACTGTAGTCTTTCAGTTCCTGAAGGCTGTGATCATGTTTCCTCTAAACTGCTGCTGCCCTCTTCTTTCTCTTCCTTCTTCTCTGTCTCTATATCTCTTGTTTCTTCTGCTGAATCTCACAAGACATTATTTCTAGACCTCTCACTAGTATATCCTCAGTCCCTCCCACTATGGCCTACATGAAGAAGTCAGAAAATCACTAAACAGAGTGGAACTACAGCTTCCTTATGTTTGTATGATACATGTCTATTAATGAAGCCCATACTTTTTTTTTTTTTGCAATGCTGGGGATCAGGATTTCACACCTCGTGGGCAAGGTGCCACTGAGCTATACCCCCAGCCCTGAAGCTCATACTTGTATTAGCGTTTAGGCAACTATATTATAATTCACTGAATTCACAACCATCTATAACACCATTTATTTCTCATGTGAAGTTATGAAATCACATTTTTTTTGCATCCTGTACTTGTGCAGTTTGTTTCATGAATGTAGGTATATAATGTGACTTTTTTGCTTGCTTTATTTCCTTTCCTCTGATTCAGCCTATCTTATTCCAACACCATTTGAGGTCTTTATTTTCTTTTCCACTTACGAAATGCATTTTTTTTTTTTTTTTTTTTTTTTTTAGTTTTGACGGTACTGGGGTTTAGAGCACAGAGCCTTGTACTTGCTAGGCAGGTGTTCTACCACTTGAGCCATTCCTCCAGCCTCTCTTTTCCACTTATACATGATCCTTAAAGACAGAATCTTTGCAAGGTAAGAAAATTCTTGTAAAGTGCACAAGTAGAACTGGGCACCAGTGGCTCATGCACGAAATCCTAGCTCCTTGGGAGGATGAGTTCAGGAGGATGGTGGTTCAAGGCTAGCCAGGACCAAAAAATCATGAGACCCCATCTCAACCAGTAGCTGGGCATGATGGTGTGCGCCTGTCATCCCAGTGAGGGCAGAAAACTTAAAATAGGAAGATCACTATATAGGCCAGCCTGGCAAAAAGTGAGGAGGATCACTATACAGGCCAGCCTGGGCAAAAAGTGAGAAACTATCTCCAGTATAATCAGAGAAAAAAGGGCTGGAGGCATGGCCTAGTGAGCACAAACCTGTGAGTTCAGATCCCAGTATCACCAAAAATAAAATATGATGCACAAATACCTAGCACATGATAAGCCCTTGGTAAACATAAACAATTGTGGTGTTGTCATTATGCCAACATTCAACATAGTGTCTGGCCCTTAGAAACCCTCAATAAATATTCATTGATTAATGAGTGAATGACTGGATCAAAGATTTATGGAATGAATGAATTCCCTCTCTCCTGAATCTCAAGCTGATAAATTTGATATCATCCCTCTTTTACAGATAGGGAAACTGAGGCTCTAAGAAATTAAATAACTTGACCAAGGTCACTCTGCTGGAAAGTGATGGAACTAGGCTGGAACTCAGATCTGCCTGATTCCCAAGCATGTGCAACTAACCCTTCCCTACTATGCTTCTTTACTTCTGTGCTCAAATCAGAGAAGCTAGTTGGGAAGTCTGAAGTTCAAGAGGCTACCCAAGGGTGTGTCCCAAGTCCTAGAGAATTTGTTTCTGCTGTTGTGACCCTGGAACATGGGGGTGTGGAAGGGGAGCAGAGCACTAGAAACCTCTCCTCTTTCCTCCCCTCAGGGCCTCTCATGTTCCCTGCCCTAAACTCTGCTCTGCTATTTCTCCCAAGGAACTAACAGCATGGTGTATCCCCAAGGAAATGCTTTTGAGGCCAGGGAGCCAAGAGCCAAGGAAGTGACTCAACTGCCTGCCAGGACCAGAGGCAATGGAGTCAGGTGCCCAGAAGAGTAGGTCCAAAGAACAGGGAGACCTGTGGTTACCACTTCCTCTCTGGAAATCAGCTTCTTATTTATAAAAATGGCAGGGAAAGTGCTCGCTTCGGCAGCACATATACTAAAATTGGAATGATACAGAGAAGATTAGCATGGTCCCTGCGCAAGGATGACATGCAAATTCGTGAAGCATTCCATATTAAAAAAAAAATGGCAGGAAAATAATCGTCCTTGTGTTTCTTACTTCTTAGGACAGTTTGAGGCACAAAAATGACAATTCTTACTAATACTTACTCTGCCAGCTACTATGTCAATTGCTTTTCATAGCCTCACAGTCAGCCCTATGAAACAGGTATATTATTTATCCCCAGTTCTCTTCTCTACTCTTCTCTCTCTCTCTTTCTTGTTAAAAACAGGGTGAATTCAACTATGATATATTGTAAGAACTTTTGTAAATGTCATTATGTACCAGTAGTATAACAATACTATGATTAAATAAATAAATAAATAAATACAAGGAAACCAAGATTCAGGAAATTATTATCTATGCAAGATTTCTAACTGACAGAACTGAAGTTTGAAACTGAACAGTCTTTTGAGCCTTTCAGAGCTACTAGACTATGGATGGGAGAATGTGAACTATGAAGTATGACATAAGCTCTGTACTCTTTGACCAAGAATGTACTACACACTCCTCCTATGACTAGAGCTAGAGGTGATGGGGTGAGAGTATTTTCTAAGGAATCTTCTGCCCAGATTCCTACCCACAATGATCAGGTTGGATCCCTAGAGTCTTGGGAGAGGATTCACAATCTGAGTGACTCCTTTGTGAAAGAGTTCCCAGGCAGGTTGAGGTGGCAGAGGAAGGTTCTAGGGTGTTCAGTCAAAGCTATGACCAGCCATTCAAAACCTAGGCCTTTAGCAGGAAGAGTACTAAGGCCCAGGTAATGCTCTCCTGGGGCTAAGGCAGAGAGAAGTTCTAGTATATCAGAACTTTCCAAGAAACCAGGGACATGCAGCTCAGGAAATAAGTACTTATGGTAGCCAGCAACACCTGTGATCCCTTCATCCCCCATCTCTCTGCCCTTGGGTTTCTGACCACCCAGCTACTACACTGTTCTCTCTGTATCCACAATCATTTCTTTGGCTTCCCTAGCCTTCCAGGCTCATTCTCCTCTCATACACACCAGGCCTCTGTCTGCCATGGCAGCTCCTTTGTCTACTTCCAGAGCTCCCACACTCACCACTAGCCAAGCGCAATGAAGCCTGGCTAAGGAGAACTCTGTTCCAGGCTTAATCTGGCCCCTCTGGGACAGGTAATGGTCTCTAAACCAAGGAGACAGCTGAAAGGTAGGCTGCCCTTACACTGGGCTCTTGCTTCAAGTCCTGACAACCCAAGTTTCACGCCTAGAGGGAAAGGACACAAGATCTGCCCATGTTGGACAGGAATCTCTTCTCTTGAGCCAAAGCTGGGAGCCCCAGGAATCAAAGACCCAGCTGGACAAAGGTGGGGAAAATTTTGAGGCCCCCTGGGCGGGGACCAGAGGCTTGGACTTCTCATAGACCTCCCTGTGTCTCTCTCTTCAGCCAGGTAGAATCTGGCCTTAAGCCATTCAGCCTGAGGATCCAGGTGCCTACATTTTTACCCCAGAATGCTGTGTTCCTCTCCTAAAAGTTCATGTTCCATACCTCCCCAAAGAGTCTATCTGAGAAAAGGGAGTGAGCATTTACTCTAGTCCAAGCCCCAAGCAGGAAACATTGTCAGAGTGTGCCTGGCACTATTGATCAGTCTGAAGTCAATAAGGAGATCATTTGTCTCATATATGATTATGTATTTATATAGGGAAAATGTAAAGGGAGGGGGATCCATCTCTGACTTGAGCTGTGGGAGCTGATGACTAAGCAGTGAAGAGCATTGATGGTGCCGAGCTGGAGGGCAGCATGGTCACAGACAAAGTCCTGCAAGAAACAGTGATCATGGCCAAAAGGAAATGCCCCCATAGAGAAGAGACCACCCCTGGCAGCCTAGTGGAGAAAAAGATGGCTGCCTTAGTGGAGCCCAGTAAATTCTGTGAGTATTGGAGGGAAGAAACGAAAAAGGGATGATTTTAAAGGAAATAAAACCTCCAATATCTCTCTCATTTAGAGATCCATTTTGGAGACAACAAATCAACTGAGGAATGTAAAACTGTAATCCTGCTGCCAGGCCCCAACGGAGCAGATGGAGCTGGGGACCAATGGGCCTTTGGAAGGAACAGGAATGAGGTAAGAGGTGAGCCCTGGCCCTGCCCAGCCACACTTTCTGCTCCATTCTGTTTCAGTTCCCAGGAGTGGGGGTGGTGTCCAGGGCTGGGAAACAGTTTTTACTTGAGGCAACCCACCTTCCCTTCATGGGTCAAGAATTCTTTGAGGGGTCATGGGTACTCTGGAGTAAATAAGAAATCTGCTACAGTTTTAGGCACAGTTTTGCTTTTTATCTCATCAATGTATATTTTAATCTAGCAGTGTAACAGCCTCATACTCCTCACCCCTGCCCAAGCCCTCTCCCCCTCTCTTCCACCCTGGCCCAATCAGAATCTCAACTGCCCTAAGAGCAGAAAGTGACCAGGCACAAAAGTAATTGAAAGATCAAGCACCCAGGAAATGCTTAGGATAACACCAGACTGTCCTGGAGAGTCCCAAGGCTGAAGAGTCCCAGGTGAGGAGAGGTGGTTGGCTGAGTTTCATTGGTAAATGCATGGGTCCCAGTCCCATTCAAAAGTGTGTCCCCTGGGCCCATCCCGCCAGTCAGAGGAGCAGAAAGGCGGCAATCCTCAGATGGGGACTTATGGATAAGTTGCATTCAGTGAACAAAGCTGCTGAAATCCCCTTTCCCAAGGGCTCTGTAGATGCTGTTAGCTAAGGCTTCATCATCCTTCTGTGATTCCAGGAATTCAAGGAAGGGCTGTCAGGATGTGCCACCCCAGAAGACAGAGGGCCAGTGCTGCTACCTACAGCCACAAGACTCCACAACCATATCCTCGTACTGCTTATACACCACGTTGTTGGCAGAGTCAATGAAGAGGATGCTGATGGGACTTAGCCGTGTGGGCACACAGCAGGTGGGTGGTGTGGACTCCGGGTCCATGGAGTTCATCAAGGTCTGGATAACCGCATGGTTTGTGGGCTCCAGGTGGGAACGCAATGGGAACTCACACAACCCCTCGCAGTGGAAGGCCTCGTATTCAAGAGGTGCAATGATCCAGTCGTCCCAGCCCATGTCCTTGAAGTTCACGTGCAGGGCCTTCCGACTGCAGCGGGCCTTGAGGTTCTTGCTGGGTCTCTTGCCTTGGCGAGTGGCCAGTGGGGCCCGCCGCTTCCGCCGCTGGCTGAACAGGTACTCGTACACAGTCTTGTCATCCTGGCCAGAGCGGGCTTTAATCTCATTAAAGAACAGGTCTCGTTTCTTGGTACGGCCAAACACCAGGAACAGAGCCTTCTCGTGGACCTGCCGGGCAACTCGGTCAAAACCCAGGCCACGGAGGTCCACAGCCCGGCCCCGTTCCCAGGCCTCCAGCTCCAAGCACAGCTGGGCTGAGTTCTTAAAGTTTCGGAAGAGCTTCCAGATGTCGAACACCTCCCAGCCAGTTCCATCCAGGCCTGGCACAGAGCGCACATCCAGCAAGGCTGCTGGTTGCTGGCCGCTGGGGCAGCTGGACAGCTTCAGCTGGGCAGTCCGCCCACCGCCAGGGCCCACTGGTTTGGCTGTGTCAGAGGGCTTCTTCCGAAAGATCCGTAGCTCAGCCCCCAGCAACCCGTCCTTCTCCAGGGCACTAATGTCAAACACGTACCTCTGCTTCCTGACCACAGGACCTCGGTCATCTGGAGAGAATAGCCAGAAGTCAATTCCTACAACCTCGCCAAAGGAGCTGGTCACCTCAAGGTCTCCAGGAAGGGCCCCAGTCTCTCTCTTTTAAAAGAGCTCTCTTTAACCTCTTCCCTACTGTGACAAAGGCCAACACCCAAATCACTGTGAGCCCTTTTCAAAATGTGGGTACTTCCTATACAGCTGACCAAGTAGAGGTGTTTCTCTTTAGGTGTGGCTGTGGGTGATTTGAATGATTCTGGGTGTTTTGGCAATGATCTATGTGTATTAGAGTCATCTGCCTTATAACTGTCTCCTACCTATCTCTTCCCTATCCATGATACCACTTGGTATCTCATGTGTATGCTAAAATTACCCATATTCCCAGACGAGGAACCCAAAGCTCAGAGAAGGTAGGAGACTTGCTCAAGGTCACTCAGCTAGAAAACAACAGAGAGAGAGCTCTAGCCTACTATCTTCATACCTGGTCTTGAGCTTCTTTCACTATATTTAAAGGAGATCTTACTGTTCTTATTTTATGAATGAAGCACAGAAATGGGGACTGACTTGAGTCACGCAGCAAGTTAATGACAAAGTCGGTCTACAACCCAATTTCTTTGGCTTACCGATCAATCATTTTGGTGTATATCCATGGCTAGGTGTGTGAGTGTGACATTGCATGTGTGCATGTGTTTGATTGGGCTCATGTGTGAATATGTAATGTATGTGTGAGTGACATGTTAGATGTATGTACATTTGGGCTTATGTGACTATTTGAAGGGTGTTTATTATATATATGAGTATGATGCCATGCATATACATGAGATGGGGTGTGTGTGGGTGTGTGTGTGTGTGTGTGTGTAGCTCAGTAGTATCTCTGAATCAGCATGCCCTCCTTCCTAAATACCAATTTGCCATTGGGGAACATTCATATATTGCTTTAGAAGGTAACTAATTAGGCCTTTAAACTCCCCCATCTCCTCCTCCCCAGGCTCCCTCAGTGCTGGGGGGACACAAGGAGTTATTTTATGAGCCCTCAAGGGGTCACAGCTTTTCCTGGCTGGGCAAGCAGCCAGGCCACCTCCCCCACCTCAGCCAGACCTGCTGCCTCTGTGCCTCCCCCACCCCCTGCCAGCTCTAATGAGGAGCCTCTCCCACTCTCCGGCCCCTCCCCCACTCTGCCAGCCAAAGCCCCAGGACACAGAACCAGACCATGTGAGCTGCAAGCAACCCCAACAACCAGCAGTCTACCTCCTTCTTCACACTGTTGAGAAATCAAGGCTCTGAGAGGAAAAAGGACTTACTGAGATCACACAGCAAGTTGAGAGGTACAGCTGAGGCACTAACAGTAGGTGGGCAGAGGGAGAAGCAAGAGTTAATGATGAAAATGACATGTGTTAACATAGAGCACAAAGTTTGCACATTTGAAGGGCTCTCAGAAATGCTCCAGTCCAACCCCGTATCAGTGTATACATGGGAAAACTGAGACCCTGAGGTGAGAAGGGTTTTTCCCAAGATCACATTGTGAGTTAGACCCTAGGTGTGCTGCCTCCTTCCATGACTCTAAAATGCCCTCTTTTCTATCTTCACCTGTCCTGCCCCCTCTGCCACCTAACCTGAGAGCAAAGTTGAATAACTACAAGGTCTCAATATTCATTTTTCTCTGCTAGAAGAAAATCTGGAGCGTTGAAAGTTTGGCCAACCCATGTAGGTACAAAGCATGGCCTGGCAATCAAAAGTCTTGGGGTCTAGTTTCTAACTACCACCAATTGGCAGGTCTTGTCTCCTTTGCAGGCTTTAGCACCCATTTCTGCACCTTGCAGGGACTGGACATGGTGATCTCTAGGTGCCCTCCAGTGCTGACACACTAGCAGCCTGGATCTGGTATGTGTGACATAAGTCCCAGGTACCCACCCCAGGCTAAATGCACACACTGTCCCCTACTTGTGCAGTGTTGGGGATCTGGAAGCCCCTTGGTGCGTGCAGATGCCCCTCCCTGCCACCCCAACCCCTCACCTTGCCCTTTGTCAATAAAGCTGGTGATGGTGTTGGCCAGGCCAGCCTCCAACTTCACGCTGCTGTTGCCTCCCTTTCTGTCAGCATCGGACAGCGTCTTGTACAGCGAGAGCATGTACTCGTGGGGTGTGATGGGGGGCGGGCGGAAAGGCTCCTTGGGCTCTCGAGGGGGCCCAGGCTCCCTGGCCTTCTTCAGCAGGAAGGAGCTGGGGACAGTTCCTGCCTTTGGGGGTGCCTTGCCCCCAGAAAGCTGTCCTTTTGGGGTTACAGTCCGTGCTGCAGCCTGCCTGGTCTGGGGAGGGGATCCTGGCTTAGGTTCAGGGCCACCAGATCTAGGGGGCAGCTTTTTGGGTTCATCCTTCTTGGCTTGTGCCTGCCCAGAGCCTCCCTTTGCCCTGGCATTGGTGGCCCCCCCACCATAGCTGTGACCCCCTGGCCTAAAGATGTTCCGGGCCAGGGGGGCCTTCTCCTTAGGCTCTGCTTTGGCCAATCCTGGCCTAGCCCCCGGGGGTCTCTGGCCCAAGTCAGGGGCACCCAACACAGTGCAGATGAATTCCAGGTCCAGCCAAGTCAGGTGCCAAAGCAAGAAAGTGAGGAGTTTGGGGAGTCTCATCCTCTGGCCAGCCGCTGAATGACACCACAGAGAAAGGCGGCAGCAGCGAAGGTGCCTCTGGCTTGGCAGGAAAAACCATGAAAGGAGCAGATCTTCAGAAGCAGTGGCAGCAACAGCAGGAAGGGCTCTCTGCTCAGTCTGAGACTCTTGAAGTCCGCCGGGCGTGTGTCTGTATCCAGTCCCATAGTGGAAATGCTCCGGTATCCAGACGTGCACCGTCTCCAGTCAGCAGCTGAAAATAACTTGTTCTTGAAAGGAGAAAGCCGACCGCCCCCTTTCTCCCGCACAACTGACTGAGGGCTTGAAGGAGGCTTGTATAAGGCTGAGGGATTTTTCCAAGAAGGAAGAATGGCGTAATGCTGCCTGTGTGCTCCAGTTTTTTTTTTTTTTTCCTTCTAGTTTTGAATCCTTTCCAGTGAAAATACTTCACACACACACACACACACACACACACACACACACACCTGCAGGTGCTCAGAAAAATCTTTTACAAACCTGAACTCAGGAATTGGAAACGGAATTCCAACCCAAACCAATTTAATTACTCTCTGATGTCATGCTGTCTAAATTCATTTAAGTGCGATATATTTATGTGAAAAAAAAATCACCGCTGCCCTTTCGAGGCCATGGCTCATGGGGGTTCTTGGCACTGAGCCCCACAGCGGGGACTCAGGCTTAGGGGGCCTCCTGGTCCCCGGAGCAGACTCAGGGGTCTTCACCTCCACCTCTCCAAGCAGTCCACCCCAACATCCTAAAGAGAGATGCTGAGCAGAGAGCTCAGACATCTGAAGCCGCAGTGGCATGGGGAGGATATATTTTCAGTGAAGTCCTTGGAGTGCTTTTAAAGCATTTTCAACCCTGTGTCTAGTCTGGGACCTGATTTGGTGTGTGTGTGTGTGTGTGTGTGTGTGTGTGTGTGTGTTGGGGGGGGCGGCACAGATGGCAGCATTTACCCACAGTTTCCTTTATTTTAATAAACTTCTGTTGACCCAGAGACAGAAAAAAATCTCAGTGCACATTCCCCCCCCCCCAAATACCATTGGCTGAGCTCTGATGGTTTTTTCAGGTTTAGGGGCACTGCCACCCTGGAGCCTGGAGGCAGGTCCAGGGTGTATCCCTCCTTCAGACTTGGGGACACTGCCACCCTGGAAACCTTCTCCTTGGCTAGAGGCAGGTCCAGGGTGTACCTCTCCCACCACCCCAGCAAAGATGTCCTCAGAGTTTTCTTAGAACAAATTGGCTGAGTCCGGAGGTGGCAGCTCCAGCCTGGGGCAGCAGCGACCCCTGCAGGAGGCTGGAAAAGTGATTCCTGCATGATGCTTTTCTGATAGCTTGGGAAGAGGTAGGTCTTAATTACAGCTAGATTCAAGGGTTTCTTAAACCCCTTCTTGAAGCCTTGGTGAAGTACTGAAGCTCCCCCTGTCCTCTGGAGAGCCTGCTCCATAGAGACCCTGAACAATTTTCCAAGGGAAACTGTTCTCTTCACCTGGAATCCCCTTCTGTTACTCTCACATCTGGAGTTCTCATCCTGAGCTTCAGCAGGGAAATTTACCTTCTCCAGGAAACCTTTCCTGATTCCCTGATGGAGCCAATGACTCCACACCACACTTGTCATTCACTTGTCATTGACATTCTACCACCACACTTGTCATACTGTGAGCGGCATGGCAGTAGGAGAAGCAGTAGTCAGGTAGACGTCCTTCTTGAGCTTTTTGTTGTTGTTTTGTTTTAAGCAATGCTGGGAGTTGGAGTAGCCAAGCGATGCTGCTGGATTTGAAGATCAGTGACCCCAGGAGCATCAACATGAAAAAGACTGGTGGACCACTTGAACATTCAGTGTGAGGGTTTTGTTTTGTTTTGTTGTTGGTTTGTTATTGTTGTCTTTGGTGCTGGGGATTAAACCTAGGGCTAAGCACATGCTCAATCACTGCTTTCCCTTTGACTTTACCTGTTAGCCAGTCCTTTCTGACATCCCTCACTCTCTACTGTCTCCGTCACTGTCCCCACACTCTGTCCTCCTCACTGATTGACCTGTTATAATTCTCTCATAACTGGCTTCTAGCCATGTGCCCTGGCTCATGCCTGTAATCCTAGCTACTCAGGAGGCAGAGATCAGGAAGATCATGGTTCCAAGTCAGCCCGGGCAAATAGTTTGCAAGATTCTATCTCGAAAATAACCAGCACAAAAACAGGGCTGGCAGGGTGATTCAAATGCTAAAGCGCCTGTCTAGCAAGTGTGAGGCCCTAAGTTCAAACCCCAATACTGCCAATAAATAAATAACTGAATTCTAGGCCCCCAGGATCTCTCCATTCCAACCTTCCCTCTAGCTGAACAAAATCTAACCATGAATAAGTGCCGACTCACGAAGCCTTCCCTCATCCCCCAGAAAAGGCACACATACACATAACTTCCAAACTGCCAGCACACATTTTCTGTGCTACTTTCTGTTCTGACAGCTTAAAGTCCATCCAGTCTTTGTCTCTCTGCCCCCATCTCTAAAATAATTCAGTTCTTCTACTCTTAAGTACTCTTTTCATATTTTTATTATAACTTAATTCCTTGTGCCTATCATAATTTATGCACATATCTGTCTCTCCCATTAGATTATAACTAGACTACACCATGTTTGTCTTTCAATTATTCCCAGTGCTTGGCATAGGGCCCAGCACACAGCAGAGCCTCAGTATGTGTTGCTTGAATGAATGAATCTCACCTGTCCCTTGAACACAAAAGCCATCATTTTAAACATATCAGGCCTTCTCTGCATTCCATCTTGCCACTTTTAGGCATTTTGTAAGCTCCATCAAATTAATAAAGGATGAATGGGTCAAGTAACACAGATATCCCTATACCTGGTTTGATAAAGAACAGACCTGGTTTTGTCTTTTAACTTTTTTTCAATACCAGGGTTTGAACCCAGGGCCTTGTGCTTGCTAGGCAGGCGCTATCACTTGCTGGGAGTTGGAGTAGCCAAGCGATGCTGCTGGATTTGAAGATCAGTGACCCCAGGAGCATCAACATGAAAGGACTGGTGGGCCACTTAAACACTCAGTATGAGGGTTTTGTTTTGTTTTGTTGTTGGTTTGTTATAGTTGCTTTTGGTGCTGGGGATTAAACCTAGGGCTAAGCCACGCTCAATCACTGCTTTCCCTTTGACTGCCCCCTTTAACCAGTCCTTTCTGGTATTTCTCCCTTGTTCTGGCATCCCACAAACCTTGTTGGGACTACTGATTCGGTTATTTACACATTATGTGATCTTGGAAATCCTCTCACCGCTCTGAAACTCTAAACAGGGATAATGACAGTACTTACTTCACTCGGGATTTTTGTGGGTATTCAATGAAGAGAATTGTTTAAAAAAATTATTAGTTTAGGACTGACAGTGTGGCTCAAGAGGTAGAGTGCCTACCTAGCAAGTATGAGGCCCTGAATTCAAACCCCAGTACTGCCAAAAAAAATTAGCCTACAACATGACAAATTTTAATAACTATTTTTAGCACTTCCTTTTGAAGTAGACACTTGTATTTTTATCTACTTATCTCCCCAAGTACCCTTTGATGAAGGTACTTTTAGTATACCCATTTTGCAGATAACTGTGTTGAAAACTCAGAAATCTTAGATTATTATTTGAAGCCTAATTTCTGCTTCAACACATGTTATATTAAGAATTCTGCTCTGGTCAGGTGCTGGTGGCTCATGCCTGTAATCCTAGCTACTCAGGAGGCAGAGATCAGAAGAACCTCGGTTCGAAGCCAGCCCAGGCAGATAGTGCACTCTATTTCAAAAAAAAAAAAACCACTTCACAAAAAAGGGCTGGTGGAGTAGCTCAAGGTGTAGGCCCTCAGTTCAACCCCCAGTACCACAAAAAAAAAAAAAAAATTTGCTCTGGTTTCTAGAAAGTGATGATAAGTGAGAGTGGTGGGGGGATATTAGAATATTCTAACTTTCAGCCAAGGTCTTGTCCAGTAGGCTAGAACTTTGGGGACATGGAGGAGTCTCAGGGCAGACGCTATTGTCTGAAGACTAGAGAATACCCAGGAGTGGGGTAGGAGCAGGGAAAGGGACTGAGCTTGGTTGGAAGGCCCTCTCCAGGGAGGAGCCCAGGGTTCCTGCTTGGCTCTCACTATAAAGGTGACTAATCACTTTGGTCCCCTCTGGTAATTGCAACCAGATGCTGCTGCTGGCAGCCCTTCAGTCCCGACATGTTTAATTACTGGGACACAGAGTCCCTGGGTCCCCTGTGGTCTCCCCCCACCCCCATCCTGTCAGCAATATTAATGTCAAATTTGAGGTAGAGGATGGGAGCCTTGGGAAGCCACTGGCATGGAAATAATCTTTACTGTCCCTTCCACTATGTAGAGCCTTTAACTTTTATAAATCTTTCCCCATCCATTATCTCACTGGCACCTCACAAACATCCTTATAAACTCAGTAAGCCAGTATTACTAGATTACTAGATGAGCAAATAGTGAAACAAATAATAATAATAATCCCTTGGATTTTTTTTTTATTCAAGCACTTAGCAATTTTTAAAGAGGCTTCACATTCCTTATGCTATCAGAACCTCCTGAGATCTCTCTATAGTTGGTCTAGCACACATAATCACTGAAACAGGTTTTGAGACTGAACAATGAGTATACCAAACAGAGGGAACAGCAAATGCAAAGGCCCTGAGGTAGGATTGTGCTGGGCACAACCGTAGAAGTTGATTTAGCTGAAGCAGAGTGAGCGAAGGGTTGAGTGATAAGAGATGAAGTCAGATGGTGTGGGAACTGCATCATATGTGGCCTTGCAGGCCGTAGATGGGAATTCAATTTTATATTTAGAGCAGTGGGAAATCTAATGGAGGATTTTAAGCAGGAGAGGTATAACAGTGACTAAAAGCTAAACTACCTGCCTTCAAATCTTGGCTCCCCAATTTACCAACTGTGTAATCTAAAGTAAATAACTCTCTTGGTGCCTCAGTTCCATAATAATATACCTAAACAAAACCCTGCCTCGTAAGGTGGTAGTGAGTAAATTTCTTAAAGTTCAGTGTCTCATAAATAGTATTACATATTAGTTATTATTTTCATTTTTAAAATGTCACGTATCTGAACCTGTTTCTTTACTACTAAAGTTAGAATAAAAATACCTCTTTCACAGAGTGTTTATAAATGCTTGTACTTATATATGCAAATCGCTTTTCTTTTCGTGACTAGTATATAGTAGGTGCTCTGTAAATTATAGGTTTTTTTAAAAATTGCATATTTAATATTGTCCCTGTCTCATAAATGAGAAAATTGAGTCTTAGAGAAGATGAGTG